AATTGTTTTTTAATACTTTAAAATTTGTAGGCTGCACACGCACACCACCTTCAAAAGAAGGATGGGTGTGGACACTGAATGCAGTTGAACTTTTATGGAATAAACTCCATAGTAAACATTCAAACATTAAAAGTCTTGACACTCGCAGACTACAGCAAGACCCACTAGAAAACCTGTTTGGCTGCATTCGGGGTAATTGTGGTGCAAACTACAATCCCACTACTGGACAGTTTATTGCAGCCTTAAAAACTTCCATCTTGAGCAACCTAGCTCACCTAAGCAGAGGAAATTGTGAAAGGGATAATTAATAATTTTAAAGACTCAGGTCTGTGGAACGTACACCTGTCACATTACGATCTCAAATTCAATAATTAATTATTTAATTAAATTATAATTCATTTAGTATTTTCTTAAAATAATAGTTTAATATTGATAACAAATAAGCACAAAACCCGGAACAATAACAGAAGAGCTATACGAAATTGACCTCTTCGCGAAACGTCAACGACGGTCGACGGACTTACTATTGGATTTGTTATATATCCCGGCGAGTATTTTTTATTTAGTAAAATAATTACACTTGTAGCTTGCTATATTATAAACATTTATTATCGAAAATACAGAAAAACACTTCTCACTGATGTGAGTAACGTCTACCCTCACATTTGGCTCGCTTAATCTCTCTTCGCTTGACAAGTTTTGGAAGCGGAGTAGAAGATAAAACTTAGAGCCCCAGACACGTAACACTCACTAACTCTTACTACTCTGTAAAGAATAAATAAGATAACATTTACAACGATATAACTTTATCTAGTACTCAGGTGCTCCTCACTGTTTTCAGCTTACACCAAATCCCAACAATGTTGTCCCGGAAGGCTTCGGCTCGTGAACAGGAGGTACAACTGAGATCTGTGCTGCAGGAACTAGAGGCATCGAAAAAGCTCTGTTCACAGCTGCTCATGGAAAGGGAAGACAGTGAGGAGGAATATAAAAGCATATTAAATAAAAACTCCGACTTAAAAAAGGAATTAGCAGTCCTACATGCAGAGTACTTGGACTCTGTTAGCCAACGGGATGAGCTTCAATTAACATTAAAAAATCTTGGTCAGTGTAACCAAATCCATTCACAAGCTTTGGATCGCATCAGGCAGCTTGAACAGGAGCTGTGTGATGCTCAAAAATTAAAGCATCAAGTTAATTTAAACAGACATGATCAAATTAATAAAACTCAAAGTTTGCAAGAGGAGCTCTTGGCTAGTGGCCCCAGTACTGTGTGTTTGGAAGGAGGATTTACAGATCTCACAGCAGATGACTCATTTGCTAATGTTAATAATAAGTGTGGTGTAGGAGCTCTCAGCCAAAATAAAATTAAGAAATATATAAAAATCTGTAAGTATATTACTAAAGTAACGGCACTTAAAAAGAAATTAAAGTTTAAATTTTTTGCAAATGAGCACAGGAAATATAGTAATAAACTATCATACTATAAAAATAAAGTAATTAACTGTGAAGAAATGTATAAATTAGACACATTAAAACTGCATAATGATATCCTTAATTTAGAGGAATCATTACTTAATATGACAAAAAAATATGAATGTGCTCAAAAAGAAATCCAAGAGCATATTGTAGCTCTAAATGAGTTGGTTAAAGGGACTAAAGAAAATGCAGACAAATTTGACTCCTTAGTAAACAATCATTTAAGTAGCTGTGTCTGCTCGACTCAACAGTCCTCACCTAAAGTAAATTCAAAAAATATTAATCCTTCGAGTAGCAATAGTACAAATAGTTATATGCAGGATTTATGTAACACTAATCAATCCTTAATTCTTCCAAATACTGTTATTTTTAGTGATGGTATTGGGAAAGGTATGGGCACTCTCCTCAATAATCATTTAATAGGGAGTGTAATCACCAATAATTGCCTGCCAGGAGCTTCTTTACACCACTTAATAAATGCTGCTATGAAGGCAAAAGTAAATATGGAAACAACAATTATAATAATGTTTGGAAATAGCACACACTTAAAAAAACAAGATATAGTTCATAGTTTCTCCTTACTGTCCACCCTAAAAGTAAAAAAAATAATTTGGTGTATGTTCCCTTACATTTACTCATCATCAGGAAAAATTAATGATAATATATATAAATTAAATCAATTATTGCATCACCTGACACGCCGTCATAATGACATATTTAATTTATTTGACATGAATAAATTTATTAATCTTTTAATTTTGACTCAAGATACAGTGTATCTGCCAAATAAATATAAGCACAAGATAGCTATGTTATTAGCATATAATATAAATAATGACAATTCAGTATTAAATAGACTGTCTATTAATACTGAAGCTCATACTTTTTTAGTAATTTAAGGCAGACAAAAGAGAAACCAGATGTTAAAACTGTTAGCTTGTTATATCAAAATATAAACTGTTTCTCTGGCAAGATCCTTGACGTAGAACTTCTAATTGATAAGTATAATGTAGATATCTTGTGCTTTACTGAGACATGGCTCAATGATATGTCATTTAGTATAAAAAATTATTCAGTAGCCAGTAAATTTAACAGAGTATCTGCCTAGGGGGGGGGGGGGGGGGGGGGGGGTGTCTCATCCTACATAGAAATACTTTGAAATTAAAAGAAAGAACTGATATTGTTGCATACTCTGTTGAACGACTATGTGAGATTGCATGTGCAGAGACAGAAGATTATTTATTAATGTGTGTTTATAGACCACCCTCATCTGATCTTATAAATTTTTTATTAATTATTGAAGACATCTTGATTAAAATATTTAAAATAAAAAAGCATATAGTCATTTGCGGTGATTTTACCATTGATTTACTGACAGATTCTCCAGATAAAGTGAGATTTCTGTCACTTCTTAAAACATTTAATCTTTACTGTGTCTTCGATGAACCAACAAGAGTAACCCCATCCTGTGCCTCTTGTATAGATAATATTATAGTAAATTGTAAAATCGTAAACCAAGAAATATTGAGTGGTGTTAGATCTGACCATAAAGGTCTTAAAATAGACATCTATGTTAATAACAAAAATAATGTTATTATAAATGAGTGTAGGCTTGTAAATAAATTCAGAATTAAACAGTTTAGAGATAGCGTCAAACACAAGCTACCCTTATTAACCGATTCAATGCGGATGGCTCCGCAGAGGCGCCATGTGTATCTTTTGTGTATGGCGGGTGGCGCCCGAGAGGAGCCAAAATGTTTTCCTGTAAAACTCCGCTAAAAAAGCTTTATTCAGAGGCTAGCCCTAAATGAAAGTTTCCTTATTTGTCACGTAGATTACGATACTAGTATTAGTTTCAAGATATAGCGTGAAAAAAAGACATTTCAGATGTTGTAAACCTTTTCAATAGAAACAATAATTATGAAAGGTAACTTTTGTGCATGGCGGGTGGCACCCCAGAGGAGCCAATATTTGAAACCAAAAAACTGACTAATTTAAATTTATCAATAGTACATATTTCAGTGTTCTAAAAATATTAGTGTCTTTATTTATCACGTAGATCCTTTCCAGAGAAATCGCTTTAAGGTGTAGCGTGATTTCACACTCTTCGGGGATGGTAAACCATTTTAAGCGTTATTTAAATGTTATTTAATATTAAGGGTTACAAACGAATAGCACTAATCATGACAGTTAAATATTTAAAAAATATCTGTTTTCACTTTTTTTGCTTTGTGGATATGCTCTTTTGCAAGTTTATGGTAATAACTAGGTAGTTTCTCGAAGTATGTCCAAATTTAACCGGACTAGTAATTGCATTCCTTAGGTATCAAGACAATGTACTTAGTTTATTTTTGGTGAGAAACAACAACAAAAACGATTCTCAGAAAAGCACTATCTTTTGTTGTTATGCTATGCAGTCATATCAAAGATGTTTTAAAGATTTTTAAGCTTTTTATTGCCCTACTGCTTATTGTTAATATGCCGTGCCGACCGACCCTTTTTATTGATGGGCTAGGGAAAGATGTTATTTAACTAAAAACAAAAGAAGTCGGTGCCATAAATCACTTAACAAGGTTTCTCACGCGCAAATTACTTAACTATCGATGATGTTTTTTCGTTTACTTCTGTTTTGCTATTTATGGTGATCAGACGTAAGCACGTTGTGACCGTTAAATGCTCGCTTCTGAAGTCTCTTAGTTTGCCTTTTAACAACTGTGGACTGTGTATCTGGACTTCGAGATTTTGCTTCAGTGACTACCCCGGCTAGTAATTTGGACTCTGTTTTGATTCTTGACTTTACAAGGTGAGTTTTTTTAACAATGTTCTTTTTTTCTTTTCTAGTCTTTTCAATCATTGAAATTTAACATGAGCTTTTTTGAAATTTAACATGAGGGACAGAGTGATTCCATGTTAGAGGAAAACCTAGATAGGGCATGTAGCACAGGTCTCGTGCTACAACTTTTGTAGGAACACTCATATGCCAAAATAAATCAGTCTTGAGTTATTGAACATTTTATGGTTTTTGGAAAAAATCCCATTTCGTGACCAGTGTTCAGAACTAAAAAAAATACAAAATTTTCTAAATTGTTCGTTTATTATTCTGTCTTTAACTACACAATGTTAAGTAAGAGGTAAAACACTTAAAATTCTACGTTAAGCGGAAAGATAGGTACCCTATGTAAGGTGTTCTCTTGAAACAAATGAACAGACAAACACCCCCAGACTCATACATAGACACAACAAACACCACATACACACACATAAGCGCTTAAATACATAACATTCGACGAAACAGATAAACACTTACACTCATACACACTCACATGTACAAACACTGTGTGAGTGTGTATGTGTGTGTGCTTGTGTATGACAGTGAATGTGAGAATGTATATCTGTGTGAGAGAGTGTGTGTGTGTTTGTGTGTGTGTTCGTCTGTGTTACAACACCTTTATAACGTATAAAATAAAGTGTGTTGACTGCTAGATAACTTATTCTACTATTTTTTTCAGTTGCTAACCAAAATGGCTACTCCTCCATCCCCTGAACCTGGCCCGTCAAATTGGGATCTCATATCTATGGAGTTATCCGGAATGATGTCTCCCAGCCATATAAACTTATCAGACATGCCATGCATTGATGCTATTATAAGTGATGCAGAATTGTATGGGATTTTGGCACAGGATGTGGATAACTTTCTGGAAGATTTGGTAAATGAAAACACAGAAGATGAAGAAGCCGTTTGTGCTGAAGATCAGTTAGAACAGGACGTTGAAAATACAACTGAGGAAGCCCCTACTACCGATTGGTTCAATGGAAACCCCTCGAATATGGCCGAGATTCCTTTTACGGGCACACCTGGTTTATTACCGCCTCATAACATGAGTGGAAAAACACCGATAGATTTTTTCTTTTTATTTTTCAATAGTCGTATCATTGATTTAATTTTTAAAACTGTACAAACAAGTGCGGCAATGAATTGAAGATTGCAGCACGCACCGCACAAGCTCGTTTTACAAAATGGAAGGAGATAAGTCTTGAGGAGTTCACGGTATTTATTGGCATAATTTTATTTATGGGTACCGTGAAAGTTAATAGAATGGCCGAATATTGGTCTCGACATTATTTAATGCGCCTAAGCCCACATTCATTTATGGCTAGGGACAGGTTTTATTTAATATTAAGAGCATTAAATGTCCAAGATGAAATGAGGCCGGAAAGTATTTTTAAAGTAAAGTCGTTAATAGATATGTTCAACGAAACAATGTCCACAACTTAAACTTAGATTTTTAAATACTTATAACAAACAATTCTCATTAGTAATTACTAAATCAGTCTTTTTAATGATTATAGTAAAAATCTACCTTATAAATAAGTACAATTATGTAATATTATTGCACAATGTTAATAAATAAACCTTAATATTATGTAAAACCGATGCTTTTCATTTAACTCGCCTCTCTCTCTTCATCTAAAACTCTTTTCATTTAAAACTTATGGTTTATTAATAAAATTATTTTTTTAGCGTTTCTATAATTTTTTGCATTATAATATATCTCTCATTAATACTAAAACGTAGTAACTCGTTAGATACGAATTTCCCAAAATATTTACAGGCGTGAATATCCACGACGGTTGTACTCGTAAATTGTTCTTTATCTTCTACCATTATATTTTCAGTAAACGTTGAAATATCTTTGGTGGATATTTCTGTGTACGTTGCACAATCTTTCGTAGGTTTTTTTGTACCTTCCGCCGCAGAATTTATTTCATCTTCATTTTCTTGACCAGGTTCCCAGTCATCATAAGTCTGGGAATTTTGTTCTAAATAAGCCTGTTCGACAAACTCGTAGTCAGTGTCACATTGCGTTTCCAGTTGTGATTCTGGGATATATTTTCTTTTTTTTGGTAATTCTAGAACAAAAAAGAATATATGTTTATATCAAGCAAAAAAAAAAACTTGCTGTGAGCATTACGACGAATTTTTCTGTAACTACTTTTTGTTTAAAATAAAAAGTGCGTAAACTGAATTGTAAATCTTTTAAATTTATGTAAATAAATGTAATTAAATAAAAAATCTATCATGAATTTAAATTTTGTCGACAGACTAGAAAAGAAATAAGTATAGTTTTATAAATTCAATGAAAACTACAAAAAGGTTTACAACACCTTACATAAATGAGTCACTTACCTTCCATTTCCATTAATACACGTAGATAATCACTTTTTTATACACTAAACGAACAATAAAAACCGCTTACGTTCGATTTTGGTTGGCGACTAAACTTACAGCAAGTGGAAACAACAAAAAAAGCGATACATTACAATACATGGCGGAAGGCGCCTTAGGGGAGCCATCAAAGTGCCTGGCGTTGGGCGCCCCAGAGGAGCCACGAAACATTTGTTCGTAGCCAGGCATGAAAGTTTGTCAAATAGTCCACCGCATTGAATCGGTTAAAATTAAGTAATAATGATCCCGATGACAATTTCAATGCCTTGTTTACTATGATTACTACAGAATTTAATAAAATTATGCCGAAAAGAAAAAAAATAACTTTAGGCAATAAACTTTGCTTTAGTGAGTGGGCAACTAAGGGAATTAGAAAGAGCAGGGATAAACTATATGATCTATATGGTATTAAGTCATTATCTTTTGATCCTAACTTCCATGAATATGTTAGGAATTATTCAAAAATTTTAAAAGGGTCTGTACTTTAGCTAAAGCAGACTATTTGAGTAATAAAATTAAATTGTCTTCAAATAAAGTTAAAAGTACATGGAATGTAATAAATAAAGAAACTGGCAAAAATAATGAAAAAAAGGCAGATTTTACATTAATAGTTAATGGCAAGGTTTTAAAAGAAAAATATAAAGTAGCAAATGAGTTTCTTAATGTCTTCACAAATATTTCTTGTGAAACTACTAGACATTTGCAACACTGTCCCACAGAGGCAATAACATATCTCGATAAATATGTTAATATTTCTGTTCCAGATTTTAAATTTTGTCATATAGGCCCGAATGATATTATTAAAACATTTAAAAATCTAAATAAAAAGAAAACAGAAGACTTATGGGGCTTATCAATATGGGCAATTGATCTTATAATCTATGACATTGCTTGCATATTAGCCCAAATATTTAATACATGTTTAGACAGTAGCAAATTCCCAAAGTTAATGAAATATAGTAAAGTTGTGCCAGTATATAAATCGGGTTCGAGAGATGATGCCTCTAATTACCGTCCTATCTCTATGTTGCCGGCCTTAAGAGTTTGAGAAAATAATGCTGGATCAAATGATAGTACATTTTAACAAATATAAAATTTTAAACCAGCACCAATTTGGATTTACTAAAGGTAGATCTACAACTGATGCAGGGATAGAATTAGTTTCACATATCCTGCAGTCCTGGGAAAGCTTTCATGACACCATTGGTGTGTTCTGTGACCTTTCCAAGGCATTTGACTGTGTAGATCATACAATTCTAATCAGGAAATTGGAATATTATGGTATTCGCAATTGTGCCATTGACTTTGTTTCCTCATATCTTACTGACAGGGAACAAAAAGTAATCATAAATGGTATATTGTCAACGGGGTCAAAAGTAAAAATGGGCGTTCCTCAAGGATCGATCCTGGGCCCTTTTCTGTTTTTAGTTTATATTAATGATTTGCCATATATAGTGGAAAAAAGGTCTCAAATTGTTTTGTTTGCGGATGACACTTCATTATTGTTTAAGGTTAAAAGGAATGATGATGCACTGGAACAACCAAATGAAATACTAGCTGTTGTGTCTGGCTGGTTTGCTACCAATAACTTACTTTTGAACTCCAATAAAACAAAATGTATTAGATTTACTCTTTCAAAGTTGTGTCACCAATCAGGAATCTCTATTGATGAAAAAATCCTACCCCTTGAGGATTCAACAGCATTTCTTGGAATAAGCGTTGACTCCAAGTTGCAATGGGGATTACATGTAGATAAGTTAGCTAAGAAATTGAGCGCTGCCGTCTTTGCCATACGCAAAATCAGGCAGCTAACTAACGAGTAAACTGCAAAATTAGTTTATTATGCTTATTTTCACAGCACAATGTCCTATGGTGTCTTACTTTGGGGTTCCGCATCCGGTCTAGACACAATATTTGTATTACAAAAGCAGGCTATACGGGCCGTCTATGGCTTGGGTCCACGTGAGTCGCTACGACATACATTTAAGCAAATAAACGTTTTGACGCTCCCGTCGCTTTACATACTTGAGAACATCATGTATGTACGTAATAATATCCACCTATTTACGAAAAAAAAAACAATCCACATCGCGTCGGGGCCGTGGTGACACTCTGGAAGTACCGAGGTTTAGATTGGCTAAAACCAGAAAGTCGTTTCTTGGAAGATGCATCAACTTTTACAATAAATTAGGTGACATCCACAAACAACTAAGTATAAACAATTTCAAACAATTTGTAAAAGCTACCTTAATGGCAAGGGCCTACTATAATATCCAAGAATACATAGAGGACAAGGATGTTTGGAAATGACTCTTGCTCTGCACTTGCAAGACCCCTGGCTGCTGCTGATTTTATACCCAAATAAGTGTGTATAATTGCATTAAAAAAAAAAAAAAATATATATATATATATATATATATAACAAAAAGAACAAGACCGCAGAGTTTCTTGCCGGTTCTTCTCTGTGCAGGTCTAGTTTAGTGAACCGGTGGTAGATTTTTGTTGACGTTCAATAAGAGCTTAAGTTAGGCCTATATTGAATAAATATACTTTGACTTTGACTTTGAAAGAGGTACTGACCAACTCCACAAACATATGCACAAATACAATATCTTCAACATTACAAAATTATTCATATTCCTCAAATTTATTTATTTATTTGAGGAACTTGAAAATTTGTGTGATGCTCAATCATTGACTGGTGAAGCTCAGGCATGTGCATATGTTCAAAAGATGTTTATTCAAACATTTATTTATACAATTTAAAGAAAACAATTCTGAAAAGCAGAGCTTAAAGTATCCTTCTATAAATATCATAAATTATGTGGAATCCTGTGCTTCGGTGGCAAATAGAATGCTTAAAGATATAGAACATGAAAAGCATGTGATTAATAAAATTATAACTAAAATTAAAGATTCAGTTGATCATGACTTTTTAAAGGCTTGTCCAGATCATTGGGACGAAACCATATATATTTTGTAGAAAATGTTTTATATATTTGTGTGAAGAGGTACTTATGTAGTGTAGAGAGGATATTAAAAAATCGGCAGTTCTCAGAGGAAGCTTCGAAAGCTACATTAAAAAGAAAAATTAAAATATATATATATATATTTATCGGAATTATATATATATATATATACAAGAATTGCTCGTTTAAAGGATAATAAGAATAACTTACGTCAAATGAGCATACATTACTAACTTTGATTGGTAATGCTAATTTGCAATAATTATGATTTTCATATTGTACAAAAAGAAAGAAAATTTGATTAGGCAGTAATTTCTTGAATATATTTTAAATCTCCCTCCCTTATCATTCTGTTGTTCTGGGGTGCCATTAGATGGCGCGCAGCAAAACTGTCCTCACATTTTTTGTATGAAGTCGTCATTCTTCTCCTTAGAGTATATATGTTCTCTGCGAAGGAGTTATTGAAATTGAACCCTAAGTACCCATATCGCAATTTTAGTAACCCTTACATGGTACCTACCAATTTAGCGCTTCATGTGCCACAACCCCTTTTTTATCCCCAATAAGTGCAGCCCCCGAACTGTGGCAGCAGTGGGTGCAGCCAATCAGTGGCGTAGCTACCTAGGGGCTAGGCGGAGCAGTGCCACGGGGCCCTCGAATCCTTACTAGAAATCTCGATCGAACTGAACTTTTGGAAATTTCTCCCATTTTCAAAACACATATGAGAGGTTGCAACCAATGTCGTAGCGTGGGTGTCAGCCGCCCGGTACCTACCAATTTAGCGCTTCATGTGCCACAACCCCTTTTTTATCCACAATAAGTGCAGCCCCCGAACTGTGGCAGCAGCGGGTGCAGCCAACCAGTGGCGTAGCTACCTAGGGGCTAGGCGGGGCAGTGCCACGGGGCCCTCGAATCCTTACTAGAAATCTCGATCGAACTGAACTTTTGGAAATTTCTCCCATTTTCAAAACACATATGAGAGGTTGCAACCAATGTCGTAGCGTGGGTGTCAGCCGCCCGGGGCGGAAGACAATTTCGCCGCCCCTTTATTTAGGTATTTCACTTTGATGTATACATTAATTTTAGATTTTTTTTGGCAAGAGCAGTCATTATTTTGCATTATATCTATAGGTAAGATTTTAAATAAAAAAAATTATCTAAGTGTTACAATCGCGTTCATTAATGCAAAAAATATTCTACTTCAACCACTTATGGCAGCCACACACGTTAATTTAGGTTTGAGCAAGGCCCAGATTTTTGTGATAAGCCTAACGTGGAATCTGAGGTCTCAGGAACGACTCTTTTCACATATTTAAATAGAGCTCCTTCATTTGCTTTAATATTTTCCATTTTAACTCTTCTCTTATTACGGTAAAATGCCCCACTTTCTTTTACTCTTCTCATTTTTGATAAAACTAAAACAAACTGAACCAAAAAAAATGATAAAAATACAAGTTAAGAGTACTAAACTGAAACTATCGAACATTTCAAAATAAATACCTACTAGGTAATAAATAGAAAAAAGAATAACTTGCTTTACTGAAATTTTAGTAATTATTAGAGTTTCGTACCTCAAAAGGAAAAAAACGGAAACTTTATAGGATAATTGTCCGTCTGCCTGTCCGTCAAGACCTTTTGAATTCGAGTTAAGATTTTTTTCGAGAACGGTTAATGTTGGTCCAGGGAGGGATCCACCGAGAAATAGGTGTTTATGAGGGAGACAGAGGTTGTTGCGGAGGGTGTGGGTCCAGGGAGGGATCCACCGAGAAATAGGTCTTTATGGAAGGGAACACGGAGGTTGCTGCGGAGTTTGTGGGTCCAGGGAGGGATCCACCGATAAATAGGTCTTTACCTAAGAAGTATAAGGATTTTTTGGCTGAGTGTGCGCTTTTAGCGTTTGAGGAAGCAGTTGACTCCAGTGAGGAGGAAAGGTGGTTGAGATCTGTAGAGGAAGAGAGTTTTTTCTTTGGAGAGGAATGTCGCGTGGGATTTGATTGGTGAAAAAGAGGCTAAAGGGAGAAAACTTTTAGCAGACAAGTGGGTCTTTGCTGGGAGGACGGATGGAAGATTTAGGGCTGGATTGGTAATCGAATGTTCTCAACAGAAATGTAAGGTGGACGACTATGGGGATGCCTGTGGTCCTGCAGTGAACGGTGCTTCGCCTGGAATTGTTTTATCGATGGCGACTCGGAGGAGTTTGAGGTTGGGA